GGGGCGGGGCGCTGGGCGGCAGACAGGATGATCGATTCGAGCACATTTTTACGATATTTAAGATGTCTTTAATGTTCTTCTTTTGCACATAAAATTATTTATATTGCATACAAAAATAATAGCATAAATTGTCACGACTTAAACGAGTAGGAAACTAAAATAAATACTGAAACATTAAATATAACATTAAATACAAAATAAGACAACACAAGACATGAATAAGATAAAAAAAAACACGAACCAAAGCACAACCAAAAATACAAGATTAATTCATTTATAAATGTCACTGACATTAGACATTTTATAAACTGACTGCGTGCTGTGAACTGTATTACACATCATTGATTCGTTCGTTTTATAATTTGACCCGTGACATTGTAAACTTAAAGATCAGTATAAAATTTGCCTTTAGTTTAAAATTGCAAGAGAAATAAAAAAAAATGACCATCACTTTGTGTGCCAAGTTTTCTAATAATTTCTTTAAGGCCATCTATACGTTATTTATGCCAAATGTTAAATTTGGCACAATTTTATATATTTTTTAATACGAACCAATTTTAAGTTAATATTTTCACATTAGTCTTAAGATATTTTTTATTAGTTAAATTATTAAAACCAAAAACACGATTTCAACTGAATTTAAACCAAATTTACAATAAACAGTTATTTCTTTACGTTATTTTGTGTTGTTTGATGTTTGTTAGAGTTAAGTTAGTTTTATGTACTTTTAAGTTACTTTCAATTATATTTAGTACTTGCAATCAACTTTAACAACAGGTCGCAGACTTCTTTGTGTATATTTCTTGTTTGAGGCTTTATATTTACTGCTTTACAACATTTCTAAATATAATGGATTAAATGAACAACATTTCTGCAGTTCTTAACTGAGGCACATTACATCAAATATATTGTTTTCTATCTGCGTATTTAAAGGAACCGAATATTGACTGAAACTTTGTAATCATTTCTACATAGAACAAGTGCCCTTTGGGCTTAAGATCGCACCTTACACATTTCAAGTTTCAACTTTATCACTTTCTAATAAGATTCGAATTACAATGTCACACTATTTACACAATAATATCGTATGAGATCTCTTTGTACATCAGCACTTACTCCAGCATCAGACTTGATGCAGAGTAACCAGTTCTGGAGAATATTTCCGACTACATTCATATGTGTAAAACACTCCTTTTATGTGTGTCTGTATGTCTAGTCCGGCAACCAGTGCTGAGCGCGCCACAGCAGACAGTGTACGCCGGCGTGAGCGCCGCCGCTGCTGCCACACTGCAAGACAAATATTATATTTAGGCTGAAATTTGTATGTGATAGCCATACAAAGAGGCTCCATTTAATCCCGAGTAGAAAGATGTAGTAATAAAGTTGATGTTGTACCTGTGCGGGCGCGTATCTGTGCAGCAGGAGGCGGTAACCACCCCCGAGCGTGGCCAGCATGGCGCCGCCCTCCGGCTCGTGCGCCGGCAGCGGGATCATTGCAAGCACCTAAATATAAAGGTTACTTTTGGTAACATTGTAACAGTTTGTATAGATCGCAATGTGTACCAGTGAGAGCTGACCTCCTCCTCGTAGGGGCGGAAGACTGTGAGGGGGCGCAGCGAGGCGGCGTCAGCCACCACGATGCAGCCCCACGCCGTGCCCACGTACACCTCCCCGCGCAGCGTGCACATCGCCGTTATCTGCGCACAACACACGCGTCACACACCCGCACCCTGCTCAGCTGTAGTCAGCTGTACCCAGTGCAGGAGCTGAGCACTCACCATGCAGCGGTCCTCTGCCAGGCGCTCGTCGATGGCGATGGACTGCAGGCTCTCGGAGCAGGGCGCCAGCTTGCTGCAGTCCAGCCGCGCCGTCACCTGCTTGCTGCTCACGCTGTACTGGTACACGAACACGCCTGCATACACACACCTATGTCAGACGAGAACATCAACAGGTTGATTATAAACAAGTCGCGAGCACCGACCGGGCCTGCAGGCTGCCAGCACGTGCTCCCCGGCGGCGGCCAGCAGCGCCACCTTGCCCGGCGCCGCCAGCTGCTCCGCCGCGCTCACGCCCTCCCCGCACACCAGGTACGCGCTCAGACCGTCGCCGCCCGCCCACACCTCCACGCTGAGTGCAAACATTACGTATATTATAGATAACTCACCGTTTGTCCGACTGATAGGAACAAAAATGTAATTTAACGTATTGTCGAAAAGTTTCAACAGTAGTAGTGTTACCCCGTGGGCAGCGTGACGGTGGCGAGGCAGCAGAGCTCGGTGGCGGTGCCGAGCTCGGTGAGCACGAAGCTTGTGTCGGCCTCCGGGCGATGCGCGCTCACCAGGAACAGTCGACCCGCGGCGGCAGCCAGCGCCACGCGGCCCAGCCCCGGCAGCGGGCGCAGCGCGCGCACCCCGCACACCGCCCCGCCCACCGCCTCCTGCACCGGCACGCTCCACAGCAGCGCCATACTGCTTATACTGACACAACACAAACACTACAGTAACTGATAACTCTAATGACAGGTCAAACTACAGGAATGATGCTTGGGACTCACGAGTAGACGGACACCCTGCCCACGGAGTCGCCCAGCCACATGGTGCTGCCCACGCGGCACATCGCCGTCACCAGCACCGCCGCATCCTTGTCTACACACACACACGCTACAGTTATATACACCACACAGGTATAGAACATTTGGAGTAGTTATGCAGTGCAACAGACCTGGCGGCACTCGCAGCGAGTGATGGTGCAAGAAGGTGGTGGAGTTTGCGAGCAGCGTGTGCGCGCGCTCCGGCTCCGCCCCGCCGAACCACACCTCCCACCCCAGCCCGCCCTCCTCTGACACACACAACACACAATTACAAACCGGGTCCTAAATATAAATGTAAAACCGTGGGCATTTGACTCTCACCTGTGGGGAGGTGGACCTTTGCAGCGGCGACGCCGGTAGTGGGCGCGCGGGCGAGGGCGGCGTCAGCGAGCGCGAGGAACTCCGGCGCGGCCGCCACTGCCACCAGAGCGGCGGCGGAGGGCCGCAGCTCCGGCGCTCCGCTCCAGCAGCGCCGCATCGTCTCCACCATGCTGCACGGGTACTGCAGGTCCTGGTCACAGTACACAAACGCCTCACTTAGTTACACGGACTCAACATAGAGGGCGCTTTTTGAGTGCGAGCTGCAACTGACTCTGGGCGTGAGGGCGGGGCGCGCGCCATCAAGCACCGCCTCCTTGACCGCCTCGTGGCCCTCGAAGGGCTGTCGCAGCGTCAGCACCTCGTACAGCAGCATGCCGAAGGAGAAGCAGTCCACCTGCAACAAGCAATGCGACAATATCATTTCGTATTCTTGACAACAACCGCGTGTTGATCTGCAATCAAACACGGTGTTAACCTTCTCGTTGTACTCCTCCTCGCCATTGTAGCGCATGATCTCCGGTGCCATGAAGCCCTCCGTCCCCCCGAAGCCCTTGGTGCCGGACGGCGGCGCCATCCTGCTGATACCTGAGGGAAAACATCGATAAAATTCTCGATGTTTGTTTTGTGTTTGCTTTAATTATTTTATCTATGTTGTGTTACCGTAGTCGCCGAGCTTCACGTGTACGGGCACCGGTCCGGGCGCGCGCTCCGCCGCCTCCGCCTCCGCCGGCCGCGGCAACTCCCACACCAGCACGTTCTCCGACTGCAAGCCAGGGATACATGTGTAGTTAAGTCAATAACATTAGAAAGCGAGTGGGAGCCTGCACGTACCTTGAGGTCCCTGTAGAGTACGCGGTTCGCGTGCAGGTACTCGAGTGCGCGGGCGAGCTGCAGCGCGAGGGCGCGCACGAGGCGCGGCGGCAAGCGACGCCCGCAGCCGCGGTACTCGCGCAGCGCCGCGTCCAGCGCGCCCCGCGGCGCCAGCGCCAGCAGCAGCGCCAGCGGTGCGGGGCACACCGCCAGCAGCGGCAGCACGTGCGGGTGTCTCAGCCGCGCCACTATGCTCAGCTCCTGCCGCAGCCCGCAGTACGCGCGACACGCCGCCGCCAGCGGGGACCGCTCCCACCTTGACGCCGCCGCCTGCGACACGCACGCACCGCACCACACGCCGTCAGACAACATATACAGACTGCCATAGTTATCAAATGAGTCGATGTACAAAGTGCGACCTTGTATGCCTGCAGCGCGCTGAGGTGGTGCGGTGCGGTGGGCGGGACCGGCTGCAGCGCCTTCAGTGCGACGGCTATGGGTGCGCGGGCGGGGGGGCGCCAGCGCGCCGCCAGCACTGTGCCGAATGCCCCGCGCCCGCACACCGCCCCGCGCTGGATGTGCTCCCAGCGCGCACGACGCTCCTCCTCCACGTCCAGCAGCAGCTACACCACACATATACTTTAACACGCTAACTTCGGAGCCGCTTCAATTTGCATTAACGTCCCTGCACGACACTGACCGTGTCGGGGGCGACGTCCCTGAGGTCTACGTCGGCGTGGTGCGCGCAGTGCAGGCGCTGGCCGCTGCACGCCGCCAGGATGCACTCCTCCAGCGTCCAGCAGGTGGCCGCCGGCCCGGACGCGCTCGCCACGCCCTCCACGGACCCGATGCGAGATGATGCTGCGACACATAACCTCACAATAAAATTATTTCTATAAATATATAGGTCTTGTTGAAATTGTATAAGAAGAATGTAAGAAAATATTGCGAAGTACTGACCGTTGGACTCTGCGCCGACGCCGCTGTCGCCGTCGGAGGTGCGCGATTCCTCGGACAGCCTCAGCCGGCGGGGCTCCGCCTCACCCAGCTCCAGTCGCACCAGCATCTGCTCCATATACATCGTGAGTAATGCTCAACAAACTGAAAAAAATCTTGCAATTTGGATACTAGTTTGATAATCGTCTAATTTCTTACCTGAGCCAATTGTTGGTCATCATGTCGGGGGGAGGGGTCGTGTCCGGCGAGGGGCGGAGCGTGGCCTGCGAGGGGCGGGGCGAGGGGCGCGAGGGGCGAGGCCGCGTCGCGCACGCAGCCCGGACACGGCACCATGCGGGTTATCAGACAGCGACCCTCCGACGTGTGCACGAAACGAGTACCTGATTAAATTACCACATATTAGGATTAAAAAAGTTTATTAATCTTTTTTATTTACTCTCCCAATTAGAATATGAGGTAATTTACCGAGCGAGGGATACCAGTCCTCGAGCAGCAAATCTACGTGGTCGGAGACCAGCGCCAGCACCTTGGCCAGCACCTCGGGGTTCGGCTCCAGACTTATGCTCTAGAAAATATTATTGTCTTTATTAATTTTTATCTTTTATTTATTTGTTGTTCAGTATGCAGTGTGCAGCGAACAGTACCTGGTATCCACCGAGGGGCAGGCCGTCCTGGCGACGCAGCACGCACACCTGCGCGGGCAGCAGCAGCTCCACGCACGCTGACGACTGCACGTCCAGCTCGCACCACGTGCCCTCTTGTCGCACGCGGAATCTGCACCACCAACACTTATAGCTTACTGGTACACTGACCCGCATTCTCTTGCTCCAGATTTGATATTATCCCCTTAATATGACTTGGTGTGCTGTCTGCTGACCTGATATTGTGGTATAGCTCGTCGTGCTCCTCCTCGTCCCCCTTGGCGCCGAGCAGCGGGTCATAGCGCGGCGAAAGCTCGCGCAGCGCCACCAGCGTCAGCTCCCCGCACACCAGCTTCATACCCGTGCGCCACAGCCGCCACCCCCACGGCAGCTCCAGCGCCCGCGACACCGCATCGTCCACCTCCATCTATGTCCACAGAGACAACCTGCTCATTAACTCTCTCACTTAACTCGGTCTCCCATGTGTTCCAGTGTAAATGTACCTCTGGGGGAGGGCGGTAGAGGTCCGGTGCGGCGGCGGCGAGAGCGGCGTCCGCCAGCACGCGCGCACACAGCCGCGCCCAGAAGCCGCACGGCACGTACGACAGCAGCAGCAGCCGCCGCAGCGCCGCCCCGCCCCTCCGCCCCCACACCTGCGTCTGCCCCGCCCCCACACCCGCCCCCGCCCCCGGCCCCGCGCCGCGCTCCTCTGAACACACACATATACACAATGTTTATACATGACATTAATGACTTCCAAATGTGTAAGGAATGTGTAGTAACTTACGTATGAGTGTAGGCGAGTCGGCGGGTAGCGGGGCGAGGGGGAGGGCGAGGGCGGCGGAGCGCGCGTGTCGCGGCGTGCCCGGCCACGTGCGCGTGCGCAGCGCCAACTGACCGACCAAAGTACAGTTATTATAGCTGAGACAGCAATGACACGTAGCG